GCTTCTTCCCTGCCATTATTAGACTGATGAATGGACTCTCTAACTTCAAACAGTGTCGGTCTTGTTAACGTTGATCTTGCTTCGTGCACCTCCTGGGCAGTGTAACCTATTTGCCTCGCTCTGTCTAAGAACCCTGCCAACTGTACTTCCTTGCTTACTATGATTTGCCTGTACTGCTCGCAAACAAAGATTTTCACTGTACTTAGGTACACGTAAATGCAATAAATCAAATCAAATCACTAGATTACTGCAAGGACGAGATTGCACTAGAGGCAGTGTTGAGACAATTCACCAAACTGTTGCCTAGGCTACAGTGATTCAGCTATGAAGAGACTAGATAAACTGAAGTTGTTTTCTTTCAAGCACTGAAGGCTTAGTGGGAACCTGAATAAGATGTGCAAAATTATCAGGGGTTTAGATAGGAAGAAATCTTTTCCTCATAGTGAAGGGATAAATAATCAAAGGGCAATTTTAATGTCAGGAACAGGAAGTTTATAGAAGGGATCTGAAGAAAATGTATTTTAATCAGAAAGTGGTGGGTATCTGGAACTCACGAACAAAAAGGGTGATAAAAGGAGGAACTATCAAGACATATAAGAAATATTTAGACGATCACATGAAACACCATCGCGTACAAGACTGTAGGCCAAGAGTTGGAAAATGGGATTAGAATAGAAAGATGTTTGATTACTGGCACAGGTACAATGGGACTAAGAGTCTTTTTTCTGTGCTGGAAGATCTCATTGACTTTCCATGACTCTATGTGGAAACGAGAGAAACTCTGAAAAAAAAAATCAAAAGGTGCCTTCACCGTCCACTTTTCATCAAAAAGGAACTCACCAATCTTGCAACAATCACCAGAATCCTTCTGAACGGCTTGGAGCAACATCTTTGATTGGAATAAGTAATGTCTGGAGGGACACGGGCCAAGCACAGACAAATGGGACTAGTTTAGTTTGGGATTATAGTGATTGGACCGAAGGGTCTGTTTCTGTGTTGTATGCCTCTACGATCTGTTGCCATATAGTTACATTTCAGAAGAAAAGGTGAAAATACATTGATGTGGTGTAGCAGTTAAACAACTCCAGCAAAAATGCCAACATAAAAAGGCTACTGACTCACAGAAAGCTGAGAAGGGCTTTCGAAGATAATGGAGAAAGTTAGCTGCACTGAGAAACTGACCACAACTGGAATGCTTTGCTCATTCAATGATGGCATACTTGAGCAGTTCTGAATGATTGTAAGACGCCTTGCCCATACCCAGTCATGAATAAACAATGCTGCATGCTAGCACCAAATCTCTTCTTCATGTTTTTCCGTGCCATTCTTTCTGATGTCTTTCATGATGTTACTGTTGTAATTAAAATCAGTCATTGCATGGACAGGAAGCTGTTCAACCCCTTAGCTATCTCCAGACAAAGACCAAGGTATTGAAGGGCAGAGTTTGTGATTTCCTGTTTACCAGTGTACCAGCTGCCAGTTCAAGGTGAACATGCCATATCGCACGAACATGTTCTCCAAAGCACATGAAACTTCAGCCTTATCAGTGTGAAGAAAACAAAGTTGAGAGTTGGCCTGTTCCAGGTAGAACAGTATTTTCAGCCCATCATTACAGCCATGGCCAGGACCTATGAGCAGTGGATAAAGTTCACTTTTCTTGGCAGCACACCCTCTCAAGCTGTCTATATCGATGACAAAGCACATTCGAGAATTGCCAAGAAAATAATGTAGCCTTTGGCAAACTTCAAAGATCACTCTTGGTAAGAGGTGTTAATCTGCCTACTGAACTACAAGTCACTAGAGAAATAGCCCAGTCTTGGACTGTGCACTACAGTCATGATGAGAACATCAACCATTTTTGCTCGAAATGGGTTTGGAAACTTCTAAAGATCAGATGAAAGAACAAGATACCAGGCATCCTCATCGCATTGACAGTCACAAGCGAGCTCAGCTGGTCTTGTAGCCAGTATGCTCAACACTCGCTCACCAAAGTAAATCTTCTATGGCTCAAGTCTGAGATGTGTCTCATGGAAACAGGAATACACTGAAAGCTCCACATATGAGTTTTCACTTTGACTTTGAGTTTTGGGAAATGCTTGCCCAGGATTCCTGTTCATTGTTGATTCAATTTTTTTTTAAAAATGGTGCATCTGCTTTTGCAAGCAAGCATATATCAGAAGCTGAGAGAAAACGGAAGCAGCAGAAATCCAAAGCAAACAACTAACTCAACCGACTCCCACAGCTACCTAGAATACACCTCCTCCCACCCACCTTCCTGCAAAAATGCCATCCCCTATTCCCAATTCCTTCGCCTCCACCGCATCTGCTCCCAGGATGAGGCATTCCACTCTTGTACATCTCAGATGTCCTCGTTTTTCAAGGACCGCAACTTCCCCCCCTCAGTGGTCAAGAACGCCCTCAACCGTGTCTCCTGCATTTCCCGCAACTCATCCCTCACACTCCGTCTCCACAATAACAACCAAAACAGAATCCCCCTCGTCCTCACGTACCACCCCACAAACCTCCGGATCCAATGCATCATCCTCCGACACTTCCGCCATCTGCAATCCGACCCCACCACCAAAGACATTTTTCCCTCCCCACCCTTATCTGCTTTCCGGAGGGACCACTCTCTCCGTGACTCCCTTGTCTGCTCCACACTCCCCTCCAGCCCCACCACACCCGGCACTTTTCCCTGCAACCGCAGGAAGTGCTACACCTGCCCCCACACCTCCTCCCTCACCTCCATCCCAAAAAGTCCTGTTGTAAATAGGACAGGGATACAACAAATAATTCTGTTTTGAGAGATAGTAGGAGCTGCAGATGCTGGAGAATCTGAGATAACAAGGTGTAGAGCTGGATGAACACAGCAGGCCAAGCAACATCAGAGGAGCAGGAAAGCTAACGTTTCGGGTCTAGACCCTACTTCAGAAATGGGGGAGGGGAAGGGGATTCTGAAATAAATAGGGAGAGAGGGGGAGGGTCACCTGCACATCTGCTAATGTGGTATACTGCATCCGCTGTACCCGTTGTGGCCTCCTCTACATCGGGGAAACCAAGCGGAGGCTTGGGGACAGCTTTGCAGAACACCTACGCTCGGTTCGCAATAGACAACTGTACCTTCCAGTCGCAAACCATTTCATCTCCCCCTCCCACTCCTTAGACAACATGTCCATCCTGGGCCTCCTGCAGTGCCACAACGATGCCACCCGAAGGTTGCAGGAACAGCACCTCATATTCCGCTTGGGAACCCTGCAGCCCAATGGTATCAATGTAGATTTCACAAGCTTCAAAATTTCCCCTCCCCCAACCACATCCCAAAACCAGCCCAGCTTGTCCCCGCCTCCCTAACCTGTCCTTCCTCCCACCTCAAGCCCCACCCCCGTCTCCAACCTACTAGCTCATCCCGTCCCCTGGACTGACCTATCCCCTCCCTAACTCCCCACCTACACTCACCTTTACTGGCTCCACCCCCGCCTCTTTGACCTGTCTGTCTGTCTCCTCTCCACCTATCTTCTCCGTTATCCATCTTCTATCCGCCCTCCCACTCTCTCCCTATTTATTTCAGAATCCCCTTCCCCTCCCCCATTTCTGAAGAAGGGTCTAGACCCGAAACGTCAGCTTTCCTGCTCCTCTGATGTTGCTTGGCCTGCTGTGTTCAATTGACTCTACAACTTGTTATCTCAGATTCTCCAGCATCTGCAGCTCCTACTATCTCTCAAAACAGAATTATTTGTTGTATCCCTGTCCTATTTACAACAGACTTTTTGGGTACAGGTCAGCCTTAGCAGCTGACATCCCCTTTGAAATTTACCAATCACTTGGTCATCTTTTCCTCAAGGGAAGAAGAAGAAAGCATAGCAGCAGTAAGACTTGAAATCAATTAATGAAGTAAAATCTGGAATAACATCTAGTATCAGTAATACTGATCATGATAATTAGTATGCACTTGAAAGTCTTATCCTAGTGTTACTGGGAATCACACAAGCAGCAGTGTGCATATCAACAGCCATGCAAGAAGCCCAAAAAACAAATACTCTTGGTCATTTGTGGACTCCAAGTAGATATCCCTCATTCACCGGGACTCAGTACCTGATCAAAAGATCCTGCACTGTGCAAGAGCTGGCTTAATGAGAGCCATCCATTTGTGATTCTTATCCCATCTGACCTATTTATAACAACAGACCCATAGAGGTATGGTTGATGCTTAACTGTCTGCCAAAATTACCTACCAAGCCACGTATTTGAGAAGTGATATCCAAAATATAGGAATGAAAAAACAGAAAAAGAACATTGTTTCTAGTCACAATTCTATCAGTAACTCATCTGACATTTGGATAAGATTTGAGACTGTTGCTTTGCTGAATGGTTGGTATGTCTTCTAGTCAGTGCTATTTACTTGTTATCTATAGTGAGTGGTCCGGGAAAACACGAAAGCGATGGTCACCAATCTGCATCTCCAGTAAAAATCTCATTCACTGAGCCCATTTCACTGCCAAATGTACGAAGTGGAGGAGAAAAATAATTTAATTTCTACTCTCTCATTTTTGATCAGTACATTTGTGACAAATGAACATAAATCAATACTAATAAAAAGTTACTTCCTTTAGCCTAACCTACAAAACAATTCATTCATCTTTATTATGAAAATAATTGCATTTTGTCACCCTGTTCCAAATGTAATCAGTTTGAACATACTAAAATAAGCAGCATTTCTATATTCAAGAATAGCTTGTCCTCTATTTCAACTCTCAGCTTCACAGCTAAATGTCCTTGACATAAAGGACTAAATTAGTTTTAAGTTTCACACTATGATGTTATTAGCAAGTCTCAGTTACACCTGATGATCATTCCAAGACCAGTTTTACAGAGGTGAATCGATGACCATTTTTGTATGTGGCCATTATTCACACATATAAGATTACACAATGCAGTTTGAGCATAACAGTAGACAAAGCCATTAGTCTTCTTGTAAAAATCTATATCAAAAAGTGACTCACAGTCCATCTCTAAGCTCTTGTGTGTCATTAGGCGTCCCCAGAGCTTGCAGACTCTTCTCTAAGGAAGTCACTGCAAAAAAAAAAGGTGAGGATTAATGAGAATGAGAGGCTGAAACACTGGCTGACAGAAAGGTCAGGCTCTTCCACGAACATGCTGCCTTTTTGCTTTTGTGTGATCCAGTTAAGATTTATTGATGCAATAAATTTAAAGCAAGAAGTCTTGCAATTCCAATTTGATACCCAACGGCAATATTACAAACCGCAGGAGATGTTGGCTGGAAGACAAAGATTAAACATTGAAATGGATTGATATTTCTGTTTTTTTCTCCCCCAATCTAAAATTGCTGATAAGAGTGTAATTTACACATAATTGACTCACAGGATATGATGTGGGTGAGATATAAATGTGCGCAGTCTGGTCACTTCAGAGGTTAAAATGTAAAAAAATCTGAAACAGGAGCCCAGGCCTACTTGAACTTGCCAGTTTCTGATTTTAATAGAGGCAGCATGAAGAACACAGAAGTGCACTTGCAGAAAGGGGTTTATCATCTCATAAAAATGTGGTCATGTTCCTTGAATTGAAGATCTGTTTCAGTTTTTAACCACAAATTGCAGGGATTCACCAAATCTCAAGAAATTCAGCAGCTTAAAAAGGTGAAGTAATTGGTTAATTGCTTTTATACGAAGAATTTGTGAACCAGGCAAAAAACAAAAATGGAGTCTTTCCTCCAGGTACAACATTTCCACTAAGAACCACCATATCCCAAGAAAACGCTCAACTCTCTGTTCCCACAAGTCAACATTAGACCCCAGCAGCCATCAGCAGAGCCCATCCAGACTATCACAGAATGCCTCCACACCACACCTCTTGTTGGGGTCCAGCCATTCCACCAAAGGACTCCCCCAGCATCTCCTTTTGGACCACAGACATCCAGCATCCCCTGACTGTGGTCTTCAGCAGCACCATCATTTGATCCCAACTCCATTCCCCACTCCCCCTCAAACACATACACACTCCAGTCATGTTCCCAGGAACCATCATGGGGCTCTCTCTCTCTCTTCAGGCAATTGGAACCCCTAGTTGAGGATATTGCCTGGATACGAGGGCTTTAGTTGTCAGGAAAGATTGTACTGGCTAGGCTTGTTTTCTTTGGATTAGAGAAGGCTGCAGTAATAAGTGAAGTGTATTAACTTACAAGGGGTCCAGATGAAGTGCATGGGAAAGAACTACTTCCCTTGGTTGAGGGGTTCAAAGATATAAAGTTAAAAATGATTGAGGGGCCCAGCAATAATGTGTATTTAGAACTCACTGCCTAAAATGTAGAAAAGGCAGAAACCCTCATATCATTTACAAAAGATTTGAATATGTCCTTGATCTGCCTGAACATATAAGGGTATGGACAACTGACGTGGATACAATGGATCAATTGGCCACTTTCAAATTCTATGTTTCTACATATTCTTTACAAATTCTAGTGAATGCTTTCCCTTATCCTATGTATTTTATTTTCTTCATGTGAATTACCTGGAAAATCACCTTTGTTTAGCTTCGGCTTGTCAGTAACAATTGTGTGTTCAGCATTAATAATAGTCCAATTTTCCCCTATGGTGTTTAGCACTCTGCCGCATTCATTTTTTTAGCTCCTCTTTTGAAACCTGTCCTTTTAAAATTATGCACAAAACTCCTTAAGTTGGGAATTTCTGAATCCCATATTACAAATGGATTTATTGTGTTGTACTCGCTCTTTTCAGGATTGTCCCGTGCTATGTCACAGCATGAAAGAGAATGCAAGTGGGAAGAAAGCATATTACATTACAAATGTTAAATGTCCACATAAAATTTCTGCTTTCCGCACATACTGGAAATTGAGAAAATACTGGAAATGCTCAGCAAGTCACGTAGCACCTGTGGAGAAAAGCCAACTCAGTAGGCTGAGATTTCGTGAGGGGCTTTATTTCAAACTTACCAGGCTACGCTCAAAATAAATACCATTTTCCAACAGTTCAGAAATAATGGCAGGTTACGATCTCACACTCACATAAGTGACATCACCACACCCACCACGTAAAACATCAGCTGCAAGTGCAACTTCATTTGATACATTTTTTTAAATTAATTCATTTTGTAGGATGTGGTCATCTCTGGCTTGGCCAGCATTTATTGCTCATCCTTAGTTGCTCTTGAGAAGGTAGTGGTGAACTGCTTTCTTGAACTGCCTTCTGTGGGTTGACCCACAATGCCATTGCGGAAGGAATTCCAGGATTTTGACCCAGCAGCAGTGAAGGAACAGTGATATATTTCCAAGTCAGAATGGTGAGTGGCTTGGAGGGGAACTTGAAGATGGTGGTGTTCCCATATATCAGCTGCCCTTGTCCTTCTAGATTGAAGTGGTTGTGGGTTTGGAAGGTGCTGTCAGAGGATCTTTGGTGACTTTCTGCACTGCATCTTGCAGATAGTACATACTGCCGCTCGTGGGCATTGGTGGTGGAGGGAGTGATTGCTTGCGGATGTAGTGCTAATCAAGCAGGCTGTTTTGTCCTGGATGGTGTCAAGCTTCTTGAGTGTTGTTGGGGCTGCACTCATCCAGGCAAGTGGGGAGTATTCCATCATACTCCTGACTTGTGACTTGTAGATAGCGGACAGGCTTTGTGGAGTCAGAAGGTGAGTTACTCGCCCACAGTATTCCTAGCCTCTGTCTAACCTGCTCTTGTAGCCACTGCACTTGGGGGCGGGGGTTAGATTGTCTCTTGTTGGTAAAGGTCATAGCCTGGCATTTGTGTGGCACAAATGTTACTTGCCACTTGTCAGCCTAAGTCTGGATATTGTGCAGATCTTACTGCATTTGGACATGGACTGCTTCAGTATCTGAGGAGTTGTGAATAGTGCTGAACATTGTGCAATCATCAGCGAACATCCCGATTTCTGACTTTATGACAGAGGGAAGGTCATTAATGAAGCAGCTGAAGATGGTTGGGCCTAGGATACTACCTTGAGGAACTCCTGGAGCTGAGATGACTGATCTCCAACAACCATGACCATCTTCCTATGTGTCAAGTATGACTCCAACCATCCAAGAGTTTGCCCCCTGGTATCCATTGATCCAGTTTTGCTAAGGCTCTGTGATACAACACTTGGTCGAATGCAGCCATGATGTCAAAGGTTGTCACTCTCCCCTCACCTCTGGAATTCAGCTCTTTTGTCCATGTTTGAACTGAGGCTGTAATGAGGTACTGGGATTTTTGTTGATTCAGGTAAGTTTCTGAAATCTGTACAAACCAGATAAGTAAATTTGTGAACCATGGGGAAGCCTGCTGTGATTTCCAAAACATTTTGACTGGAAAGTTGAAAACAGCTTGCTAATTTCAAATATCATAATGTCACAGTATATTATGTGTACAATATATTTTCAATGTGCTGATTGATTAAATGGCTGTGTGATTAAAAAGTAAATGAAGATTAAACTGAGCAGCATTATGGAAGCGCTTATGTGCATTAGATTATTTTATCCAATCGAAAACAATGGACTTTCATACAGTTCAATCTGGGAGCAGGAGCTTGCAGAAACTGTCACATAATCCTTGCATCCTGCTCTTTGCTCTGCCCAACAGAGCAGACAAGAGGGGAACAGCTAGGACAGCAGCAGCAGCAGTATTGGGGAAAAAATGGACACATTGATTAGGAGGAACATCCCACCTTCAGCATGACAGATTGGGCATCATCAGGTAAAACAAATCAGACAGGACTCAACTGGTCCCCACTTCCAATAGATTCGAGTTTGATTGATTGCAAATCTGTTCTTGCCTGACAGACAAGTAGCTCTTTTTCTGTAGTCAGTAGTTGAAAATCTGATTTAAATGAGTCATTAAGGAAGGTGTGGCCTATAGAGCCTAACAAGCATGCGGAAAACTTGGCCTGCTTGGTAGCCATCCTCCTTTGGCCCCACTTCAGCCCTGCACTCAGTCTGCTGCCCAACTCTGGAAATATAAAATTCTGTTAAACTGGACTTACATTTAGCAGATGGGAATGTGACAACAACTGGGCAATAGTCTGCATTGTGTTTCTTAATTTGAAGTGGGATATCCATCCCTATGTCAATGATTTTTCATCAAGATCTGAAACCCTGATCAAAAATAACTTGAAGCATTTTTCTCTCTCTCCACAGGTATATGCTACCGGATCTGCTGAGGATTCCCAGCATTTTCTGTTTCGTAGCAGTCTCCAGTTTAGATTTGACTGGGAGTGCTGTAAGCCTACATTATGGTGTGTCAAAACTCTTATCATGAAGTTAAAATGAAGCCCAATGGTCCCACGAGATTTTCATCAGCTAGCTGCACATTTTTGAGGTTTGAAAGAATATACAGCCAGTAATTGGAAATCCACCCCTTCCCCCCCCATCAAACTCCAAGTTTAGCCTCACTAAAACATCATCATTTAATTAATTTTTCTAAATATTTACTGCTGTAATGCAAAATGGACCACATCCAGCATCTTGTTTATAATCAGTGATGTAAACCTTTAAGATGGGAACTGGAAATTCTGCTGGTCTCAGTTCCTGAACACGCCTTTTGTAACATCAACCCTAACACAAACAGCAGGAATAACACACATTCTTCCCAGATAGAATGACACCGTACTTCAATGTATCTGTCGCTAGAGGCTGCCAGTGCATTTACACAGTGGCCGAAATCAGATGAGAACTTAATGAATGCACCAAGATGATTAACACTGTTCCACAGATAAAAAGGAAAATGCAAAAGCACAGAACCCTACAAATGCAAAGGAGCCCATCAGGGAGGGGGAAATCTACAGGAATAATACATGTTGCAAATCTGAAACAAAAGTCAACACACATTTCCATCCGCATCTGCAAATAAATGCAAGTTCATATTCTATTTGTGTTGCTTATTCAGAATTGAAACAGAAATCCAAGTTAATATTTCAAATGGAATACCTCATTATGCCCTTTAAGAAGCCGATGTCTGATTTTGTGACAGTTTTTAATGGCTAGACTCTAGTCCACGAAACGCCAAGAACCCTTTTAATCTTGCTTTTTTCTTAAACCTCCTCAAACAGCAAGCAAGAAATTTCATTTCATTTCGACCACCCCAGCTTTTTTTTGTAATTGCATAAGCTTTGGATTCTAACAAACAGTAAAAATGGCTCTGATTTAATCCACCACCCATTGCATGGCCAAGAGACCCAAGGAAGTAAAGGAACACCTGATGTACAGGGCAATTTACAGTGGCTTCCAACCAATTTAAACATTTCCAGTCTACAGTGATGCATCACCTCCCCCACATCACTTCATAGACTACAGTACCAGAAGCAATTACCTCCCTTCCATTGCAGGCACTGTGCTTTTGTCAGAAATTCAAAAGAAATCGTGTGGGAACTGCTATAACACGGATGGAAGCATTAAAAGCAACACTGTCAATACAGCTCTGTGCTCCTCCCAAATTTTGAGTCCCTGAAATGAAATGTCTTTTCAGCTAACTTGTGATCTGAAAAAATAATTCTCTGACAGTTCAGCACTTTCTTCGTTGATGTAATAGCAGAAAATATTATTAAAAATGAAAATTATCTATAACATACCTGAAATAAACTGCTGTAAGCATTGAAAACCAAACTAAAATCACAAACTAAAATCATATTTTTGGTGCAAACTGGAATAATAAAGTTTGTAATATAGGGATCGTAAGTTCATCAATTACTATTTCATTACGATTTGGACCGTTCTTTATCTCACATTTCACGTTAGAACCCTACTAACAGCAGCAAAAATAATTTTTGAGCTAAGTGGGAGATGAAATGATTTTTAAGTAGTCTTACTAGGCACTAACACAGCCATTTGCTGTAACATGTATTTCTACTTTGTAGTTTAGCCGATAACTAGAAATGGAAATTAGTGTAATTCGGACAATTGATGGAAAGGTGCCCAAATCATGCAACCATAGATCAGGTACAGTATAAATAAAGGCCATATGAGTCACCACATCCTTCTGGGTTCTTTGTAAAAGCCACTCAAGCTGGTCCCACTTCTCACGCTTGCCCCTGATCTTGCATTTTATTTTCTCTTCAGGTAATTATCAAAATCATTTTTGAAAGCTTATGAATGAACTTGCCTCAGTTACACTCTCAGGAAAGTGCATTCTAGATCTTAACCACTTGCTGCATATAAAAAATGTTTTTTCTCATGGCTCAAGATCCTGAAACTCCCTCCTTAATAGCTTAGTCAGTCTACTCATACCAAATGAACTGCTGTCGTTTAAGGAGGCAGCTCACAGCCACCTTCGTAAGGGTGGTTGGTGATGGCAATATTTCCAGGCCCAGTCAGCGAGAACCACATTCCATGACTGGATAAAAAATAACATCTCTTTTGACACTTTGGCCTCGGATTTTTGACTCTTTAAATGGTTTTTCGTTGTCCCAACTCTATCCAGATCCCTTACGATTTTGAATAAATCTATCAAGTCTGCTCTTAATCTTCCCTTTTTGAAGGAGAACACTGCTGGTTTCTCTATCTACTTCACGGAAGTCCCTCATTCTTGGCAACATTTGTTTAACTCTATTCTGAACCCTGTACAGTGTCTTCACATCATTCCTAAAGTACTACGGAGCATGATAAAGTATGCCAATTGTTTCTGCACTTGTATTTTCTAAAGATTTACCAGAACTTCCTTGGCTTGATTCTATATGTCCCCTATGAAATAAAGCCTAAGATCCCATATACCTCAGTAACCACGTTCTCAACTTGTCTTGTCACCTTTGAGTACATATTCTACCAGGTCCCTTTGTTCTTGCACCTTCTTTGGAATTGTCATCATTTTTAAATCTACTTATTTAGATATGTTATGACATGCATCTAGGACAGATGGGACTTTAACCCAGATTTTCTGGCTGAGAGGTAGGGACATTACCACTGCACTACAAGACAGTAGAATGTGCTATCCCACTAGCCACAACTCTTACTCTCATTTTATATCTCTCCGCATTCTTTCTACCAAAACACATCACTTCATATTTTCCAATATTAAATTTAACTTTCCATATGTCTGCCCATTCCATCAGTCCTTCTGAATTCTATCACTGACCCCATCAGTGCTAACAATAATTTCAAGTTTAGAGCCACCCTACATTTTTGCAATCATGCTCTGTACACCCCAAACTAAATCATCAATATAAATCATAAAAGGAATGGTTGCCATCTGGGAAATTCCCAATCTATACCCTCCACTAGTACAAAAAACTATTCATGATTGCTCTGTTTCTTTCACGCAGCAAAATTTGTATCAAGGCTGGTATTGTCCCTGTTATATCACAGGCTTTATGTTTGCTGACAGATCTGTCATGCAGCACAATGATAAATGCCATTTGGAAGTTTACATACACTCGTACTGATCGTAACAAGGCCAACCAGGTGGACCTCAAGATTGGTTATGCCATGCAACTGGATTTGTAAACTCACTGCAGGGACACAATTTGTATAAAGAATTAGCCTTCTGCCTAGATTTGACAGACTGTAGGATTCGTTGGGTAAAGTGAAGTTAAAGTTAGTATAGTCCCAGACGACCATAGGGCCACTCTCTCATTGCAGAAAGAGACAAAAAGTGGTGAATTTAACCCAAGGGTCACCACACATCAGGTGAGGGCTGAGATTGAGAAGGTGGGACGCTCATGATAACTTCATCTGGTTTGGGAATGAACCCACACTACTGGCATCAGTCTGCATTGCAAACCCGCCATTCTCACATTACACTCACCACCAGCAATCTCTCTCTAATGAGCAAGCAGTCCTCTTAGACTATAATGGCTTTAACCATGTGTTGGTTATCCATTATTTTGCCTTCCTAATTCAATGGGGAGCTACAGGGGGCTGTCAATTAATTCACAAGGCTTTTAACTGTCGTTTTCCTTATTAATACAATCATTACATTGCAAAAACACAACCATCGCAAGCTAAAGTAATAGATATGAACATAAAGTAAACTCACCATTGGTGTTAATGCGGAAGATGTTTGCTGTAAGTTCCTGAAAAACCTCTTGAATTTCATTGGGGTCAATCTGAGATGCTATTTGGATATAACAGAAATAAAATTTACCACATGATCAACACAATAACCTCATTTAAAATATTCAAACTAAATTGCTCTGATTTTCTTAAAATGAAATGGCAGCATTCCTTTTAGTAAGGTTGCTTCCACCAAAATAGCAGAGACACTTAATACTGTATTAAATAACTGCGTAATAACATCACCAAAAAGAAACCGGAGTTGACAACTTGTTAAAAAACTGCTTGGCTGTAACTAAAACCATTAATAAAACTTCACTTGTGGCCATACTTTAGCAAATTTTTTTTTTTTTTTAAATACATCAAGCATTTTTTCTTAAACAATATCTATGATTGGCCCAGCCCACACCATCGGGTGTGCAACATTACCATGATCATTACAAATGCAGACAAAACTGGGATTTTGGCAACTGCAACTCAATAGCTAATGTGGCGCCACATTGAGTGACTGCTAAAGCTGTTGGAATTATTATTGCTGGATATTCAAGACATTTTGTATCTGAAATTTTAATGGCATTGTGCTGCTGGCACCAGGGAGGACAGAGAATATTTCAAGTAGTATCAACCTTGAATTTACCTTAAATTGTGCAATCAACCATCTGAATATATCAACACTTCGAGGGTGGAGAGTGGCAAAACCCTCTGCTGAGATGAAAATTAGGCCCTAGGTGGAGACAGTAAGCATCATCTAAAGAATTGAGAAAGATAGCACGTCTTGTACAAAGTCCAACGTCATTCCCAGTGACAGGATCCGGGAATAATGTCAAACAATATCACTTCCATAAATAAGCAGATGGACAGTGTCATAGCAGTAATACAAGAAGCCAATAATAACTCTCTGGGGGCATGGCATGGCAGCTAGTGGCATTTAAAAACTCAATTAACAATAAGATATGAAATTGAAGATTAGTTTCATGGTCACCATTACTAACACTAGAATTGACACTGATTTTTTTTTTAAAAAGAGGAGAGGAAATCTGACATTCTCACCCAACCTGGCTTTAATGTGACTCTAAACTCCCAGCAATAACCACTTAATTCAAGGTAATTAGGATGGGCCTTGCCAGCAATGCTCATATCCCATCAAAGAATGAAGCAAGATAAAGTGATGGCACCAACATGACTATTTAGAGTTTTACTAATTAAGTAGTGAGATTCTTAGACAACCCAATGAATGGAGATAATTTGAAGCAAATATATGCAAGATGCACCGTCATAACTCGACTCATATCCTTCAACAAAACATTTCAAAACCATACTCTCCATTACCTGAAAGATTAAGGGTAACATAGGACCAGCACCAGCTGCAAACTCCTCTCCAAGTCACACACCATCCTAACTTTGGAAGCATATCACTATTGACAGACTAAGATCCTGGAACTTCCAACAGTAGTAGCTCTGTGGGTATAACTATCCAACATGGGCTCCAGGTTCAAGAAGGCAGCTCATCACTATGAACTTGCCATTCAATGTGGCACCGCTCACATCTTAGGTGCAGCCACCTTGGATCTCCTGGTTCCAGTGTTCTTTAACTCTGAACTTTCTCTCTGTCTTAAGCTCGGCTATCCCAGAGGATCAACTCAGTGACCATGGAGTCCTTCAGACAACATTAGTCATCATAATGAATTTCAAACTAACTTTGTTGTAAAGCAATGTTTCTTGCGCTATAAGCATATTGTTCTTAAATTTAAAACAAAGTCCTATGAGAGACCCGAGTCACAGACACAATCTAGTCCTACCAAAGCTTCTTGCTGACTCTTTCTCTATTGGTTATCTCTGAGACAGCCTGATCATATGGACAGTTACTGGAAATTCCTTGACTCCCAAAGAAACCTACTTCTCAAAGAGAGAATCAGCCTAACAAACCAAGATTCCCACGTCCCACCTAAATAAGGGTGTGCTGACATGAGGATCAGTGCCTAGCCATATTTTTGCAAAGAGTACCTGGTAAATACCAGCGCCAACAAAAGAGAATCCAACAATCTTCCCTGGAGGTTCGATAGCAATGCCATTACTGAATCTTCCACCATCAACATCTTATCACAGCTACAAGGTGCCAAAGACTGAAAATCTGCAATTAGTAACATACCCGCCAACTCCTCAAAGCCTGTGAACCATCTTTAAGACACAGGCAAGGAATATGAAGGAATACTTACATCCTTCCTAAATAAGTCTCGTTCAAACAAAGTCAAGATGTTTGTCACAATCCAGCACAAAGCAGAAAACCTGATTCTAACCACATCTCCCTATTTAAATATTTACTTCTTCTACAGCAATTCACAGACTCCTTCAATGCCACCTTGCAAATATGCATCCTCTACAGCCCAAAAGAAGGGCATCAAAAACTAGCAGAACAACCACTCATAAGTTGCTCTCCACACATACATGACCCTGAATTGAAATATATCATTGTCCCTTTATTGTTGGTGGTCCGAAACCATGGAAATCCTTTCTGAACAACACTATAGATTATTCAACATGGACTGCAACATTTGAAGACAGCAGTTCACCACTACCTTCTCAAATGTAAGTGCTGATCTTGTCAAAAATTCCTCACATCCCATAAATGGAAAAAGAATTGAAAGTTAACAGTCATCTTTTTAGTTCAAAGACACATGTAACACGGATGGAAATGAACTACCTAAAGGATCTTAGTTGTCACCTGTGACTAAAATTACATACAACTAAAGTATATCCAAGTCTCCTTGATTTTCAATTCATCATGAAATTCTCTGAAAATGAATATCCGCTCTCAAAACTGGATACACCCTCAACTCTCAAGACTAAGCATTCTGCAATTCTGCTATTTCAAGAAAAATCCTTCTCACATTTTATTGAAAGCTTTCAAGCAGATCTTAAACTTATTTATATCTAAAAATAGCTCTTAGCTCTTGTTTTGTTAAATGCATTTTTTGATGTAAATTTAAGGTATGTTAAAAATGGAGAAGATTCCTTTACTGCAATGGCTGAAAAGAAAGAATATTGTTTAAATGTTTTGATATTTTATTCTCATGTTTCAAAATATAATGGCATGGGTCCAGTACTGATCTTGAAGTTCAAATATGTATACTCTAAAATTTAGATTTTTACATTCAGGCACATTCTAAAAGGGTTCAGAAGATATTTAAACGGAAGTTGGCATCAGCAAAATAAGCAAAACTTTTGATATGTGTGACAATAATATGGATTTAAGGGGTGTATTTTGTTCTTTTTGTTAAATGAATTAAGGTTGAGATAGAGGTAATGAGCAGTCTGCTCAAAGCCAATAAAGTAAATAGCTTGTGAGGCCTTGGGGTTTTTGTTTAAAAAGTTGGAACAGTAGAAGCACTCTGAATGGGGTCAACCTCCTACAGAACCAGGAATTTTAGTTTTAGATTTCTGCAGTTGCTGGATTCTTAAAGCTGGATGTGGAAGCTCTTATTCCTTTCTGTTTCAGCTAAAACCTGGGGTTCTCTTCCTGCAGCTAGAATTGCATGTGAGACAATCTATTTTACCAAATTTGCCTTTTCCAAAGGGGAGTTTAAGGGTTGCTACTATATTGGAACAGCTAATTAATTGTAGTTTATGTATGTATTGTTTTGTTGAGCATTTCGATAGAGCTCAGTTAAGACAATTCTTTTATTTTTATTTTGTCTGTATTTTAACGGTAGTGTAAAAATAAATTACGTTTATGCTTAATGTGGAATAGTTGGACCAATCAAATTGCATCTGAAATGTAATGCCTCATAATTGCCTTCAAAATAAGAAAAAGGTAGGGTCTAGGCTATCTTCTTAATATATTCTGAGGGGGTTTGGTCTGGTCCATAACACCTATTTTAGGCCAAAGGTCAGGGCCCTCAAATGTGAACAAAGGTATGAACAACAGGTCTTCACTGAATTATCTATTCGATATTATATTAAGCAAGTTGGTATGAACGAGAAATCATTATTTTGGAAGACAGCCAACTATCACTGTTACCATGAAGATATCATATAAAATAGCTCCAAACTGGAAGACTGCCAAAGTTCTCTATCTTGTTTTTCCAAGTGCACATATAACTTTGAATATACTAGTCAGAATGCATTGCTGCCTCAATGGAACAAAACACAATGAAAACAGATTTGGTTGTTTGTTGATGGGGAAGCTCTCAAATCAAGCATCATGACTGTCATCCGTGCTCCACGAATAGGTGGCAGTACATATGCAGCTGTCCTCATGATTGCACTGTCGTATGCGCAGAGACATGTTATATATCACAATGAAAATGAAGTGTCACAGCAGTTAGGGAGAACTCACTGCCTGGCCAAAGTGTCATACCTGTTGCAAGAACCGCCGTCAGATGTGAAAAATATTATCTGTGCAGTGCAGCAGCTAAGAAAACCAATGAGTACAAAAATAAAGTGAGTACCATTTCTGATCTGTGTTACTCTTATCTCACTGAACTCATCTGTCACATATGTGGAGAAATGCACATGTTACACCCTTGTTCAAAAAAGGGGTCAAAGAATAAGCCAGCAATTACAGGTCAGTCAAAGAACAAAGAACAAAGAAATTTACAGCATAGGAACAGGCCCTTCAGCCCTCCAAGCCTGCACCGACATGCTGCCCTTCACAACTAAAACCCCCTACCCTTCCGGGGACGATATCCCTCTATTCCCATCCTATTCATGTATTTGTCAAGACACCCTTTAAAAGTCATTATCATATCTGCTTCCACGACCTCCCCCTGGCAGCAAGTTCCAGGCACGCACCATCCTCTGTGTGTAAAAAAACTTTCCTCGTACATCACCTTTAAACCTTGTCCCTTGCACCTTAAACCCATGGCCCATGGTAACTGACTCTTCCACCCTGGGAAAAAGCTTCTGACTGTCCATTCTATCCATGCCGTTCATAATCTTGTAGACCTCTATCAGGTTCCCCCCTCAACCTCCGTCGTTCCAGTGAGAACAATTCAAGTTTCTCCAACCTCTCCTCATAGCTAATGCCCACCATACCAGGATACGTCCTGGTAAATCTTTTCT